GGCTAAATCTAGCTAACACATGCATCACTGTTCTAATTTTCAAACCCACATCTATGCTTTTGTGGCAAATACAAGCAATTCTTTAAAAAGCACCAATGAATTTGTTTACTGTTTATCCTTATGTTTGCCTCTCTCAGTAAAGACTAAAGATAAAGAATTCAACTACCATGGAGTTGGAGGTGGACTGAAAATTATTTTGAACATTGAAAAGAGGAACCACATCCTCGTGGAATCAATGGGGTAACACTACCCCTCTGGCCTCCAGTTTTCTTGTCTGTCGCCAGGAGGCAGAGCATAACTGCCCTTTTTATTTATATAAGAGTAGGAAAGAGTGCTCTTGGATGTAATCCTTGTTGCTGTGCTGAGAGGGCAGCTGCAAAGATGGTGCAGGGTGACGGGGCCCGCCCAGGCAGAGGTGACTACACTTGCAGGTGTTCTTGTTCAGGTGCAGCAGGACCAGCTACATTCAGAATCCCAAAATCCATGAAAGTTCAGGAACAAAATGTTTTTCTACCTTTTTCTACCCTAGTTAGTTTTCTGTGGAACAACAACAGTAAAGAACTCCTATACGTGAATAACAAACATCTAAAGTTCCTCTTATCTACTCTGGTAACCGCCCTGCGGCCTCAGAAGTGGCAGTGTTTGTCTCTGTTTAGTGGGCGTTACCTAGGCAACAAAGTTGTTCACTTTTTACCACTGTGTGACCCAGGGACAAAGTTTTTCAACCTTTTCTTGTAGAGAAAGAGCCTGATGACCACCAGAGAAGTTTGGGGTGTAGCTGGGCTACTTTCTGGCTTTCTTTTTTCATCTGCTCTTTCTTGTTCAGCTGGAAATTGGCTGTGGAAGTCTACAGATGCATAGACTAGTTAAAAGTTCTCTCAGTTTGTATTCAAAGGGGAAAAGTTTGTGAGTAAGTGGGGGTCAGGAAAGCATGGATATGTGGGAATGGCTGCCTGTGGGCTTCCAGTGCAAGAGACCAAAGTTTGTGTCTGTACCAGCTTCTGTGAAATCTACAGCATGACCAAATTTACAGGTGTAAACAATGAACTTGTCAGCAAGCAGAGGTTTGTAACCTTATGAAGGGTTCTAGTAAATGGAAAAGAACAGATCAACATGTATGAAATTGATGACATCTGGGCAGTGATTGGTGCAAAGGAAGGGACCAAGACATAATAATCTTGGTAACATTGAGGTTTGTGGCTCAGGAAAGTCAAAGAGTTCTGTTCTATTTCAAGTGACAAAAGGATAGTTATATATGCTGTAGGAAGAGACAGGGAATTACTTTGATAGGGGTGACTGTCTTCCTTGGGGTCATAGTAGGTTTAAGGCTGTACTTGGGGGCCAGGATGAGTTCAGGTTAGGGTCTGGTACAGGAAACATTACATACACAAGAGTAGCCAATCAAAGAAATAACAGAAAATGGTAGAGAAATGCAGCCAAGAAAGGGTGGTGAAAGATAACAAACCCCCAAAAAGAGGTGGAGGGAAGCTAGAGTCAGAAGCTTTGGAATTGGCCCTGCCCACACGGCTGGGGATGGTGGTAGAATGAAGTCCCAACAGTGACAGTGGAAAAGCAGAAATTGAAGGCATATTTCTTTAGGTAGGGTGGAGGAGGCAGAGAAGAGGGGGATGGTTTTATCACCTTATACATTTTCCATCTTTTCTTACCTAGGCCCTTTCTCACCTTGATAAGCTTTCTTTCCAAGATTAGGGATCACAACAAATTGGTATTAAGGAGAATGCATTATGTTACATTTCCAGAAGGGCCACTTGTGCTTCATTGATTCTGTTCATCTTGTTCCTTCACGTATATAGCTTGCCCTTTATGTGGGGGGTTCTTTTAGGGAAATCCTTAGGTATCCTCCTAAACCATCCCCTCAAGCTGAGGGTGGGTGTTAGTCACCTTGCTACTCATTAGGAAGCTCTCATATGAAAATGAGAGCAGAACAGAGAGAGAGAGAAGGCTGAAGGTAGGAGTTCAACACACATTAACAGCTGTGTGACACCGGGCATGTCACTCACCTGGCTGAATCTCAGCTTCTTTACCTGGACAATGAGGGTAAAGAGCATGTCCTGCATATAGGGATTTTGTGGGTGACACACAACCCAGGATGTAGTATAGTTCTCACACTTAGATATGCTCAACAAATATTTCTTAGGTGAAAAAAAAGTTTTTTCCCACCGGGTATGGGATCTTTCCTGCCCAGGCAATTGATACTCAGTCAGATGTCATGTGTATTTTTAGAAAAAAAGCAAAGTTTTATTGAAATTTCAAGCTACATTTGAAAAATCACAATTCAAATCCTGGAGAGATACATCAGGATAAGGTGTCAGAGAGTGGAAAGTATTCACTGTCACAGAACCCCCCGAGACAAGCTCCTAGGGTATATTCCCCAGACTCCGTGGGATCACAGCCATGCCCTCATCTAACCCTCATCCACAGTAGGATGCTATCCTTCTAGTCACCTGAAAGTTTTCCACAAATATTTTTTTAAAAAAAAAACTTCTCAAACAGAAATGTGAAGTCCAATCTGATCTTCTCTCAACCCCATTCTATGTAGTCAGCACCAGTGAATGGTGGGTTTGGCATTCAAAAGAGGACTTCACCTATCTACAGTGACAGATGGGGAAAGGGCTACAGCAGCAAGGCATCTGTGGCCACATTCTGAGGCTGGCTCCCCTCTTTCTTTGTTTACTCTTGAGTCTTAACCTAAAGGATGAACTGGATCAAGCTGGTAAATGAACACAGTCAAAGAATTAGCTTTAAGATGTAAGGGACCAGTCAGTACTCCCAAAGCTAGTTAGGCCCTTCAACACATAGGTGTATGTGTATATGTATACATTGCTACACTAAGATATAGCTCTAGCCCTATGGGTATATATATGCATTTATGGCTATATAGTAAAACTATGCCAATGCTAACCAAACAGAACTTTGTAAGCAGTCATCCCAAAGCTGTAATCCCACACTGGGCTGTGCACAAAGCCATGCATTATACCATATTAACCAACAGAAGGCTGACTTGGCTCAATCTCTCTCATCGGTGGCCCCTGCTTTGGTGAGGCAGGGGAGAAGAGAGGCTACCTCTGCTTAAAAGACAAGTGGCTTCTTCATATGAACGGTCTTTGAAAGGTGAAGCTTGTTGAAGATGTCCATGGAAATGAAAACAGACCCCTTCTATTTTTCTGGAGCAAACTGGTGTAACATCTCAAACTACCTTTCTCCATTGCCAGTTGCAGATAAGTTGCCCAGGTCCTAAGAATCTCTAGGACATCGTGGCATTACAGGTGCACTGGTGAGGCCCTATGCAACTCAGCCTCCAGAGACCTGGCTGCTCATTGTCAGGGGTCTGTCACTGGAGTGGACCCAGGTGGACCATGTCCTCAGGACATCTCTTGGTACCAGCTATACTAGGTGTAAAGTTCTCCACGTGAGATGATGCTTGGGGAGCCAAAAACAAACTGGAAAGAACTAGGTAGAACAAGTTTAGTGGCTCTGCCCACCCTGAAGGACAGAGCCACTTACACCGCAGAACCATCAGGGGCCTCAGGTGCTTGTGGGGATTCAGGAGCTGGCTCTTCAGGGCTCAGCCTGGACTGGAACTTCTCCAGCTGCTCTGGGCTTGCCAAGGTCTTCAGGAGGGTGTTCTCACGTTCCAGCTGGGAGTTCTTCTCCACCAGCTCACGGATTTGCTCCTTCAGGATCTCTACTTCCTCTCTCACAGCATACATCAGATGATTCTTCACCAGATCCTGCCACGTAAGAGATGACATGAAAGCCATTCTAGCCATCATTGTCTCTCTAGCACCTGTTATCAGGTGCCCATGTTGGCCTTCACGTCACTGCCCTGTAGCCTTTTCTCAGCACACTGGCCCTGCAGCCCAATTTCTTGTGCAATATTCTCTCAAGCACTTAAACTCCCACTGCAGGATTTAGGCCATGCCAAAGTTGGGAGGCGGGTTTTGATCTAGATAAGCCCCCTGCTTCAAGTTTCTAGTGACTTTCAAGTGTGGCTGTTTAGGCATCTTTGGGGTGACACTTCTTGCAGGCTGGTCTTGCTACTGGCCCAAATCAGCGGTGGAAAGGGGATACCTGCAGTGTACTCCACACTGTTGGTCTGATTTACAAATCTTTACCAAGAAATTATAATCAGTATTTTGGAGTCCTGATCCAGCATAATAAATCACAACTGTCCTGCAGACTGTTTAGACAGGACATAGGATACCTGCTTTGGGGAAAGGTGTAGAGATTACTACATTCTCCCTGAATCTGATCATTTTCCTTGGGACAGACAACTGTGTCATTAGGCTCCAGAGCACAATTAAGGGCTTTTAACTAGAGGAAGCCCCAGGCTTTTGCTGCCATTTCAGCAGCTTAGTGGAGTCTGACCTCTGCCTGGTATGGAGCAAGGTAAGAGTGGGGTGTTTTGCTTTCTGTTTTCTCCCAACTCCTGACCCCAGCCCAGGCTCTGCAGAGGCACTGCAGTGGAGTTGCATCCAATGAGCTCTGGCCCCTGCCAACTGTGGGATACAGACAAATCACTCTCAGCTCCCTGCATTGCACAGGCCCGGGAGGGAGCCAGAGGGTGCTCCAAAGTCCTGGGATGGAGGAGTGGGGAAGGAAAGCTCGATGAAGCCCCACAGAAACAGAGCTGGAAGTGCCCTACCAGCTGTTACTGTAAGCCTACCTAAGATCTTCAGGGAGGATGGGAACCAGGCACAGGGCTTCCCTGGGCTTTTGGCTAACAGTTTTTGTGCCCACCCTCTCAGTCAGTCCTGCCCTGAGTTACATAAGCAGCGCAGTAGTTAAGCGTGGAGATGGGAATGATGTGGGGATGCCACTCACCATGGCCTGTTCAATCTTGTTGTCAATGGCTACCACGCTGGCTCCTGAGGCACTGTAAAGACAAAAAGAGGGACCCGTTACCCATCTGGTTCCATTCTGAGAACTTGGCAGCTGTAACCAAAGTCCTCCATCTCCCCAAACTCTTCCTTTCTCTGGCCTCTCTGGTTCCTACAGGAAGCTACATTTCCCCACCAGGATAGTGCACCCAAGCTCAGGCCGACCTGAGCAGTGAGCAAGTTCTGGGGCGCACGGGCCAGCGTGGCCAGCATGGCCAGCCCCGGTAACACACAAACAATGGGGGCACAAGGCCCGGGAAGACCCCCGCCGCCGGCCCAGAAGATCTGGGCAAACCTACCGGGCTCTGAACCTAGCTACCAATTCTTTTTCGGCTCGGAAGCTTCCGGCCTTCTCTGCAGTGGTGCACCGCCAGCCCTGAGCCCAGCCGGCCCGCTGCCCCTCTGCCTTTGGCTGCCTCTGCAGCTGCAGCAGCTGCTTCTCAAGGCACAGAGGCCACAAGGACGCTCCGACGGCGGATCCCGGCGCCGCGGTGACCCCCCTTCTGCGTCCCCTCCCCCGCCCCTTCCCAGGATGCTGCACCACGGGGAGCAGGGACCGGCGGCGCACGACTCGCTGGGAGATCCGGCTCAGAGCCCAGCCCCCGCCGACAGCCAGACTAAGCCCAGCTCAGGAGCTGAGGCCAGTGGTTACCTGTTATCCAGCTTAACGGAAACCACATCCCCTCCAAGCAAGGAAGAGAAGAAGGAGATGGAGAAATTGTGCAGCTGATAGACCGCCACCTCCATGGGAGTCTGATACATTTCGGTGTTCATGGTTCAGGCTGCAGGGGATCTCTAGCCAGACTTCGGGCTGGGCTGGGCTGGGCTGACTGGGCTGCCGCCGGCTGCTGGCGCTGCACCGGGCTGGGCTCTGCGCGCTGGAGTCTGGCCCCGGGACTGGGAGGGGTGAAGGCTGCCAAGCGGACCCAAAGCCAAGCAAGGGCTCCGGCTGGAGTTGAAGGGAAGTGACTCGAGGGGTGTCAGTGTGTCACAAACTCCAAGACTGCTAGTCCAACCCAGACTCTGAGATATTTTGGCTCCTGCTTCTTTATATAGGAGGAGCCTGCTGCGTCACATGGCGTCAGGGGCCATGCAAATGAGTCCTGTACTGGGCTTTGCGGCCCAGTTAAACCACATCCCCTCCCTAAACCGTGGGCTGGGACTGTAAACAGTTCAGCACTTTCTTGTGCCAACTGGCATCTCCAAAGAAGACTCTGGAGATTGGTAAAAACCAAACGAGGAGATCGCTAGAGCAATACAAGAAATGCTTACCACCTGTTTGAAAGCACTCAGTAGAGGGCGGTACTGCTTTAAAATGCGCTCCTTCAGGTGTCAGCCCTCTTAACATGGATGGCTTTGCAATGCTTTCATGTGTCACACTCCCTGGACACCCACCCCACCGCTAAGAGCCTCATCATCTGCAGACTGTCCTCTATCTCTCCCCTGCACACATACTTTGTCACCTGCATGTTCACTTTCAGCAATGCATCTGTCCCCTCAGCCAAATGGCCCACCAGCTTGCCCCAAGCCCTAAAACTTTTCCAATCACTGCTTCCTTGGAATGTGTGGGTGTGGGAGCATCTGTCTGTGTACTGACAGATTGGTGACATGCACATATACATACTAAGTGTGCATTAATCCGTGCATACATGTGTATGCAGGAGACAAAGTCGAGAAACTTGGGTAGGTGGATGAAATGGGGAGGCAGCTAGGTGGGTGAGAGGAGATGGAAGGGGACAGGGTGTAAGAGTGGGCACTGAAGTGACCACAGATGCCAGTATCATTCTGTGGTTTCCACACACTACTCTGCAAGGAAAGTACGTTCAACATTAACTAGTATCTCATGCCTCTATTTTTTTATGAAAGTCTATTAATTTCATATAAGCAGCAGATGACAAGAAAACAACAAAGCAGGGCTATATATAAAGGACTTCAAGAAAGCATCTGCCTTATGATGGGTCCAGTCATACACATAGCACTAGAGGATATTTCACGAAAAAAGCAGATCCCAAGCTACAAGGAAAATGAGGTGACTGTTGTCTAATAAGTTATATTTTTCATTTTTTTCAGCTTTCAAGCTTAAAAAATAAGGCAAGAGGCTTGAAATGCTTTCTTCTTCTCCTTCCTATATCAGGCCTCCTGGTGGACAAAAGTGGAATTTCAGTCAGAAGGAGCAACCTGACATGGAAAGGGACAGGTGATGCAACTGCCAGTGTTATTTACAGCAACCCAGGACCTTAAGAACATTGGGTTCCACCACATACACACAACGGTAGTTTGGATGAAGTAAGTCCAGTACCCATGAATCAGTGCTCCACAGGCTGTGGTCCAAAGAAGTATCCTAATGCAATCATATTATTGGAAAAGTACTGGGACCTCTTATCAGCTAAGAAGGTAATTATTATTTGCTTCAGGATTATTTCTCTTAACCAGGTACCTGGCACTGACACCTTGGCCAAGGACCCAGCCAAGCCCAGTCTGAAGGCCTTGATTTCCTCCTGGCTTCTAGGGCACTCATGTGACTAAACAGTTCAGTTTAGGCTATGCTGTGGTGCTCCTGTGATGGGATTCACTTGGGGAAAACACACAGGCAATGGCTATTACATTTTTAAGGGACTGACTAGAAGAACTATCCAAGTAAATCTGCATGAACATACTTACTGCTTCTACAGGTGAGAGATAATGCCAATCTTAGGATATTGTTAGCTTGAGGTTCTCGGAACCTGGTGTTTGCACCAAGTTGTGTGGAGAGAACAAAGTATTATTTATGGGTCATCAAGAATGTTATCTGGGAAAACTCCCTGAAATCAGGGAGTTTCAGTGTTACTGAAATTTACTGATATACTAATCAACCCTCTGTGCCACCTAACAGGTTCTTGAAACAGTCTCTAACTTGATCTTTTAGTAGCTTACTGTTTTTCCTAAACTAATCTTACCTACTCTAAGTGTCCAAGGGAGATGATGAGAAGAAGGGGGAGGAGAGAAGTAAACTAGATTGGTAGAGACAAGACATTGCCAGGAATATAGGGCACAGGACAGAAGTGAAACAGTTCTTCTGATGGGGACTCTCTTAGATGTACACAGAAGTAAAAAAGTACAGTTTGGGGAGGGAAGGCGAAAAGGGTTAAGTTTGCTAGCAAAGCTACATTTGAATTGTTCAGTAATTATGCTCCAATTAAAAAACAAGCTGAGTTTGAGACTCACTGACCATAATTGCTACCATTAATGGAGCATTATCTATGGGCAGACACTGTGCTCGCTGCACCACAAACTGCAGTGTAGACACCATCACCACCATTTTACAGATGAAGAAACCAAGGGCCTGAGAGTCTCCCTTGGAGTAGGCTTGGTGAATGAGTGAAGTGCCAGATGAATGAGTTAAGGCAGCCAGACAACAAGTTGGAAGTGTCTGAGAGCAGCAAAAAGGTAGAAAGGGTTAGGGGTGGGTAGAGCATCCTAAGATACCAGTAGCACTATTTGAGAGGTCCAGAGGCCAACTTTTTCAGATCTGTAAGCATAGCTCTTGTGACACTTGAAGACCTGACAAATATCCAAGCTGTCTCAATGAGCCTGAGAAGAGGGATGAGTTCACTTACATCAGTTCAAAAGGCAGTGGAGCAGTTTTTGAAGAAGGCTACCTCTGTCTAAGAAACTCGAAATGTTAATACAATGGAATGGCTTTTAGAATGGAATATGTAGTCCTGTGTATACAGTATTCCACATGAGGTGTGTAGATTTGGAATAGCAGGAATGTCCAGTCAAACCTTGAGTACCTTGAGTTCCTTGGGACCCCACTTCCTAGCTCCCTTAATTAATTTTCTTTTCCTCCCTGCTCTTGCTGTGCTCAGCTTTCAGGAGAGTAAAGTCAACAACAAGAAAACAAGCTCATATCAGGAATTTAGTTTTAAAATCCAACTTCCAAAAACTGTCAAAGGTTCAGTATTACTCAGGTCAATCTCATATCTCCTGTATACCTCTAGTTCTGCTGTGTGAGAAATGATTAGCTTGAATCCTTATGATTATCAATTATCAAAGAATGATTAGATTCCAGAATGTGCTAAAGGAAGACAATGGAATTTAGTGTCTCTGTGCAAGTGTTTTCTAACACCAAGGACAAGGGAGACAGGACAAAGGATGGCAGGGAGGGGGAAGAGGAGGAGAAACCCAAAGGGTTTTCTGCTTAACTCTTAATACACTGGAAAATTCTTTTGCCCAGAATAGCAATGCCGAGCCTTGCCATGTGTGTGGAAGTTTGTGCTGTACATGACATATATTCTCTGATCTACTATTCCTGAGTAATGTGTTTATCCTTGAGACTCTCAGCATCCTTTTGTCCTGTGGAGACAGGACCACACAAGAAGCAGGAGCCTAGGAATTCCACAACCTAGAAATTCCAATGTTCATAAATGTTGCCAGATTCTCCTTCTTATATCCCACAAATTACAATGCAGGGTAGACCCCAAACCAATTCAGCAACACCTAACTGATGAGACAGGCCGTTTCCTAAGCCTCAGTTCTGTCCACTGGAGTTTGCCACAAAACAATCATAGCTCACCCTGCTTTTCTCTGGGAGAACCTTTTAGTGGAGGGTGGCATCATAAGGACAGAGCTGACTCTTCCCATCTCAGCAGGCCTTGGATGCCAACTTATGTTCTCTGAAGTGGAAGAGTGTCTCAACATTCTCATTTGTCTGTTTCACTTAAAAAGCCAGACTCTCTAGGACTAAAGCCCTTCCTACTTGGGGTTCCCATGGGACAGTAGATCAGTGGCTAGGCAAAGTCTGGGCAACAGAAGCCTCAGGCAAGACCTCAGTATGTCAATAAGGGCTGTGGAATAGGCTCACGTGGGTATGGTAGGTTGAGAGAGGCATGGAGGGAACATCTCACTTCTCTTTTTGTTGCTCTTCAAGCACTGTACACCACACAGCCAGGAGGAAATTATTTATGGGCAAGTCTTTCTTATTTTCTATGGGGAATGTTCCACCCAAGGATTCGGACATGTTGCCAGCAAAACACAGGGTCCTATGTCAGAAACAGAAAAGGACACAATGCAAGAGATGTTAGAGAAGCCACAAAGCAAATGCTGGGTTAGGAGTTGGAAGTGGAAACACAAAAAGGTTACTGAATGCTATGGTGTTAGTACAGTGTTAATGAGAAGGGTTTAAAACTCCCCCTTCCCCCCTGCTCCTGCACCTCAGTCCCCTTCTACATGAGGTTCTGTCTAGTTCTAATTACTTACTTGTCCCTTTTTCTGAAGAGGCTGGGAGAATAAGGCTGAAATGCCATAGTTTAATCTGTCCTTGCTTCTCTCTTCGTTCTTCCCCTCTGGTTCCACTCCAATGTGGGAAACACTAGGACAGGAAGGCCACTACCACTTACACAGTTTGGCTTGATGGAAAATCCCCGAAGTCCAGGAGGGAAGCAAGAAGAAAAGACGGTGACAGAGAAAGTGCCTTGTTCTCTGTGGATCATGTGAATGGTCCTGCATGGCTAGGGCTCAGAGCCCTGACTTTGGGGACAGGAAAATAGGGAGGAGGATGGAGATGCAGATGTAAAAGCAGCAGCAATAGAGGCATGGAGGGGAGCTGAAGGAGAATCCTGGAAGAGAGATGGACACTCTCTTGGAAAAGCAGCTCTAACAAACAGTTTTGGGCACACCCTGGCACTAGATGATGGCAAGAACACTGAATTGTGTCTTTCAGCTCCCTCCTGGACAGGGTCCCGTGTGAGCTTCACAATCTCTGAGTGACACTAGGGACAATAGGCAAAACCAAACCCCATTTCAATAAGGCATTCTATTCCACCCATTCTCATTGAAAGAAGTCACAAATGGCTCCTGTCCAGTCACTCCAACTCCTGAACTCTGATGGCTAACTATGGAGAGGTGTTGTCCCGGTATCTCAGCAGGACTGGAGTTACTGGCAGCTTATTTAGGAATGTAGTTTAAGCTCAGTGAATCTTAAATTTCATGAACCTTATGTCAATATTTATGCCCGTCTCTTATGCTTATGCCTTGCAGTTGGGAAAATTTATCTCCATAATTTTTCCAAGCCTTCTCATTTTCCACCCTCTCCATTATCTGTCTACAAATATGAAACAAATATTGTGTCAAAAGAAGTTTGTAAAATCAACCTTGGTAAATGGAATGACAGTCCTTCCTCCTCTCCACACTCACTGCCATTAAAATTTAATTCAATTCAAATCATTTTGATTCAAAGATGACCAAGTGCTTATTTAAGGCTGAAAGCACATTTCAGGCAAACGGGTAATACAAGTCAAAAACGGTCCTTCCTTCCAGTGTATCCTGGGTCTATGACAAATTCTTAAGTTTTCTCCACTGGTTAGACCTTAATGAATGATTTGCTTCAGCAAAAAGCCTAGCGTCTAGGGGTACACAAGAGTAGCTTGAAGTTAGGGAGGTCCACACCACTACATGCCTGGGCATTACTTCACTCCACAGGATGAGCTATTTTTCTTCTCTTCACCCTGCTCTTTGGCAAGTGCCCACCTGAATGGGGGTAACACAACAGCTATGAAGCCTGAGGTTTCTGTGTAATATTTAGGGCTCCTCTGCCACTATGGCTGACAATGCCAAAAGGGTTCAGGGGTAAAGGCGCGGGTACTGTATTTGCTTTCTGAATTGCTAGTTCCTTCCTTCAGAGAAGGAGTTCTCTTTTCTCTGCCAACCTCTTGGCCTTCCTCTTTTGACCAGCTCTTGGGCTCAACTTTGTTCCATCTCTGTTAGCAGCAGATACCAAGGTTCTCTGCTCTCATCTACAGATCAGCAAGCACCATTGGGTAGGCAAGTAGCCCCCCTCATCATGTCTTATCCTCTCGAAATCCTGGTACACTGCAGCCTTCTAGGGACCAGGAGAGAAAGCAGTGAGAACATGGCTGCTTTCCACCTTTTTTATCTGCACTAGTCCTCTACCAGCCTATCTGGTAAGGACTAAGGAGACAGTGTTAAAGCCTCTCCCCAAACTCTCTCCTATGTGGAGCCATCCCAAGAGCCAAAATTCCAAGTAATCTTCTATGACAGTTGCTAGTGTTACTCTGAGTGGCATGCATGTGAAGGACTTGTCACTACTGGCAAGCTGGGAAGATAAGAACCCAGAAGGACCTCTCAGAGATGTACAGCTGGCAGACAAAGAGCCTGTGAATAGGGCACAGGCTCTGAGGTAGAGCACCTGGCTCCACTGCACACCCAGCTATAGAATTGATGACCTTTGAAGTGGCACAGGTTCCTAAGAAACAAAAGCATGGCTAATAATGCTGGCCTTTTCAGGGGCTCTGCCTTGTTGGTCATGATGGGCAAGCATTCTATGCCTCTAAGGCCCTCACACTGTGTTCCTGAGATGTCACTTACCTCACAGCAGAGCTATTCACCATGGGCTCACTTGATATGGCTCCTTGATCCTTTATTGTGGGTCTCTGTCACTTGTAAAGAGGGGCTCTGCAGATTGCAAAGGGGCTCTGCAGTGACCCCACCCCACCCCCTGTTTTCTGGGTGGAAAGAACACAGCCCAGCTAGATTGGGGGGGGGTCAACAGTGGGAGGCAGGTCTCACTACTCCCACAATAGAAAGGAGAAACAGGGTGAGCACCCCTGGGCAAGGCTCCTCAACCATGGGAACAGTGCCAGGAATCTCAAAACTCTGCTTGGGGGGGGTGCAGGTTAAAGAAGGCCTCCTGCCTGGTTTGAGAACTACTGACAAGGAATGCACACACCTTATCAGGAAAAAAAGAGAAGCACAAAGCACCCACACATTGATGCAAACGCCTCCTCAGACTTTTTCACATAGTCTGATTCTCAGAATTAGGCAGAGAAGGCCACTGTGTGTGTGTGTGTGTGTGTGTGTGTGTGTGTGTGTGTGTGTAGCTATCTCTCTGATGTCAGTTTCTCCATGACACCAAATGGATAGTAAGACTGCAAGACATGGAATGATGGAAATGTAGGACACTGTAGTTTAAACCGGTGTCAAACACTGTGGCCTAAAGGTGAAAGCCAAGAAAGGGTGCCTCTGAAGAGTCCCTGGAGAGCCATAGGCACTGAAATCTACTTTGTATGATGCATTCTGATACAGTTACTTCAGCATATTCCAGACTCACTGTCCACTCTGACATCTCTTTCTCTGTTGCTCCTAGAAGCTTGATCAGACCATGAATGAGAGTTACTATTACAGGGATAACCCTGAACCTATTCTGACTTCTTTTTAAATCCTTGGCAATTTTTTTCTCTTTGTTGTGAGAAACAGATTCTAAGACACTTCACAGCAGTCAGTGGGAACTCTGCCTGGGCAGCTGGGGACACAGGGGTGGGCATCACAATGGGGAAGAAAGAAGAACTCAGGTCAGAGAAGAGGAGGGGGCTGATTTTTCTCAAATAGCATGATTTGGTCAATGGATCAGCACAATCTCCCTTTTATAGAATCCAGCTTTTCTATAGCCCTGTGGTTGTCATCATCTAGTCAAATGTGGGTCAGTTGCCGGGGTGTCTCATTGCCCCCAGGAGCCTGGTAGGACTGACAACAAAGACTTGCCAGGATCTCTGCAAACGTGCTCATCCTGATCTTGATCTAGGCCTGTAGTTCACCCATCCGTACCATTTTCACTCCGTTGCACATTTAGGGGGCCCTCCTTGGCAATGAGGCTGTATCTACTGCTCAATGACTCCCCTCTCCCAAGGAGAAAGAGTAGGAAGAATTCACTATTCTCTGTGGTATACATCCGGCACATGTTTGGGTATTTTACTTTATTTTTATGTTTAATTTATACTGTCTGCTAGGATTGGGGCTTAGAAATAAACAAAGGCTCTATTTCCCCCAAGACCTGGAATTCATGGTTGCCTGCCAGCAACAGCAACACATTTAACCTCTTCTCTTGCTCCTTTAGACACTCAGTATTGGGTGTGGGGCTGGAAGAAAAAGATATTTTGGGTCAAAAGCCTGGAAATTCATAGTGCCACCCTAAGATATCATTCCCTAGCCCTTCCTGGCAACAGAAATGGTAAGCACTGAAGTCACCTTATCAAGTACAGACTTCTTTTCAAGGCTACAGTGAGACTGTATGGATAAGGCACAAAAATAGAAAATTCTAAGTATTGGCATTCATTTTTCAAAAATCAACCGATAGAAGTCTTTGTGCTACTAAGCACAAAGACCTGCCTGGGTCTTTGTGGACAAAGTCTTGTGGCACAAGTGGCTTTAAAGATCTGTGAGCAGTACAGCATGGTGGGCTTGACCATGAAAAGCTTATCACTAGAGCTCATACACATTAAATAAAATAAGAGGAGCACTAACCCCTGTCTTGGGATAGAACTCTAGCAGCAAACTAAGGAATCCTGGTCAACAGTTCTGACATCCTGTTATTTGCTAAAACTAATAGTACTGTGGAGTTTGTTGACAGAGTTGCAGAAGAGCTAAAGTAAATATGGAAACTGAGGAACAGCCAAATATAGACAGTTACTAGCTCAGCAATTGAGAAGAGAGTTTCACAGATACTCTTTGACATCCTGGGAAACCTAGTCTTGTATACACTTGGAGGATAACTCAGAAGGCATCTGTCATGTCACTAGGTGATTTTTCTTGACTCAAGAACAGGCACTTGGACTCAGCAGTGATAGCAAGAGTTGAGAGAGACTCTTCTCTCCCAAAACATGTACACTATACAAGGCACACATTTTTATGTGTACCCTAAGGCCTGGAAACCTAGATATTGCCACTTTATTTTTTATTTTTATTTTTTGGTACCAGGGATTGAACTAAGGACCTTGCACTTGCCAGACAGGCACATATGCCACTAAGCTATCTCCCAGGCCTGATAATGCCACTTTATATTGACTGATTCATTCATTCATTCATTCATTCATTCATTCATTCATTCATTCATTCATTTTGCAGATTTAACTCAGTACCTTGACACTGAGCTATATGCCCAATTCCTTTTGTATTTCTTAGGACAGGGTTTTGCTCAGTTGCCTACGTTGGGCTAAAGCTTGAAATGCTCCTGCCTCAGCCTCCCAAAGTGCTGGGATTACAAAAGAAAGTCATCACACCTAGCTTTTATTTTTTTAACAGGTTAAATCTTACCTTGGTGATATTACATATATTTGCCTTATTTTGTAGACCTTATGGACATCTTGAAGCAGCATGTCTCAGTTTTTTGGAAAGTGAAAAGGGGACATGTGAACATGACCTACTCTATGACATGTAAGGGACCTGGCCTACAAGCACTGCAGGCAAAATGACTCTTCAGATGTGCAGCCCTTTCAATGCTGTTTCAGAGTCTAGCATTTCTAAACTTTTGCCCGGTTCCCATGGTTTCAACAAGATATCCATACTGCTTATGGGGAGAGGATGGTCTGAGGAATTGATCTTATTGTTTCAAGAGCTACTGTTTAGGCAAGTTCATGTATTAGCTTTTTGTTAGCACTTGAATATGGGAACAATCATTTAGAGAAATCATGCAGTCAAAACATGAAAGATCTGTGAAAATCAAACATACAGTACTTGGGAAACCCAAACACTGTTTAATTGAGTAAGTGGCCACTAACGACCTGAAAGCATGGCCTGATCTCGTAAATAAAATGGATAATTCACTCTGGTGTGTGCTGCTGGTTCCCTGCTGATGCTGGTGCTTTGGTCAGCTTCCATGTGTAGCTAAAGGGGCTGGGTCAGTTGAGCATAGGTCTCCCATAGGGAGCACTAAAGGGTGATAAAACCCAGGAGCAGGGCAGCCAAGTCTCAGCTGGCAATATCACAGAGGGATTTAGGGCTAGTCAGCCTGATTCTCTTAGTTACACTCATATACAATAAATGCAATGATTGGGAAGCAGATGGACATAAAAGCCCAGATATATCCTGACATCTGCCAAGGTAACCCTTGGATTTGAGAGATTGAGCTATCATATCAAAATAAAGTAATTTTCAGAATGTGAACCATTTAGTTTTTCTCAGGAAAGGAATATGATGACATTGTCAGCTTGGTCCACAGAGTGGGGGCTTCTGGGAGAAGCAACCCAGGCTGGTTAAGTATACATTGATGGAGTCCTGCCTGTGGGAGGGGGATCAAAGTGATTACTGGCTACCTGGGGGTCTTTTTTTTTTTTTTTCAGAACCGGGGATTGAACTTAGGCCCTTGCATTGGACAGGCAAGCGCTTATTCTACTGAGCTATCTCCCTGGCCCCCTACCTGTTGGTCTTGAGCTTTCAGCAGACATACAAATATGCCCAAATATTCAAGACTCTCTGTCAAGTGGGCATTTCTAAGAGTAGTAGTGTTTATGGTGCTTGAGCATAGTTGGGAGATAACCCAGAAAGTGTCTTGGACATCACCAGGTGATTTTTCTCTAATAACAGGCTCCAACAATGATGGGTGTGGCCCACGGAGCTGATACTGATCCCTCAGACAAGTAGCATAAGGAGAACTGAGAGGACTCCCTTATATAAACACAAATGGAGGCATTCTCTGAGAAACTCTAGCACACATTCCAACTGAACTTGGTAAGACAAGAGCAAAGGAAGAAAATTATGTCAGGAGGCCTGTCCTTTCTCCACCTTGGTCAGTAGGGAGCTATGCTGCTACATCCTTATGCCTGAAATAGGAATCATGCTCTTTCTATCATAAAACATACACACCACAAAGGCAGTTGCTTTGTCCTTCTTGGTAAATAAGAGCAAGTTATTTATGAAGATGCTTTAGACATGATGGGGACATTTACCTTCAGTATTCCCTGTCTGGGAGACCCCATTTGCTTGCTCCCCAGAACTCTCCTTCTCAAGCTCTATTGGCTCTTTTATAAGTGGCATAGCTGAGACGCTGACCCTGAGGAAGAGTCTGTGTTTTGAGTGGGGTTGATGGATTCTCCTTCCCTGAGGTAAATTTTTTCATCAAAAGCCTCATTAGCTCAAAGGAATGAATCTAGTGACAGAAATTCGACAGCTCACTGGGGGTGCTTTCTTTGAGCATTTTCTGCCACTCTCTATTAACAGAGACCTTTTCTGCCTGTGTACCAGATGGCCCTGGCAACAGATACAGTACTCACACTAGAGCTGGCGAAGATAGCCCTTGCCCTGCCACCCTTCTTGCCCATGTAAATTCTGAGAAAAACCTCAGCTCTGGGGCTGCGTCTTGTTTGACCTGGTGATGGCCAGCTGCCTGATACCAGGCAGAACCTGGTCAATGAGGGAGGCAGGGCAGTAGGACTGCATGTCCCCCACTCTGTTGCCCAGTTGTGAAGTGCTGACAGCTGGGAGAGGACCTGAAACCAGTTAGCCTAGGGCTCCCAGCCAGCAGTGTATTTTCATCTTGTTTTGACTGGGACCATCCTCCCCTGTGTAAACATATCCACTGTGTGGGGGTGCAGAACAGCTTAAAATAGGTGGGTGGAATTCATCCCACCAGTGAATCATCAGGCAGGGACTGCCCTGCAGGTGGGCCTTGCATTAAGCAAAATTGACACAGGAAAACCTCTTCTTAATGACAGGGAGGGATGGGATGAATAACTGTGAGGTCTTGCCCTGCCACTGAGAGAACTCAAAGCTTAATTTGATCTAAATAATAACAGCAGCAGCTCCTTGTGTACTGATTGCTTAGAGAGCACTGTGTTAAGAACAATACATACATTAGCTTTTGGAATCCTGTCCATGGCCTTAGGGGTTGGGTATAACATTATCAGTAGGCCCATTGTATGGATGAGGAAATTGAGGATCAGGAATGTTAAATGACTTGAGTTTGCTGGCCTGTCTCTAACTAGCTGTTGTACTTTGTTTTGAGGAGAGATTCAGGCACAGCTGCATTCTAGGCAGAGAAATTTTACCATTGTCCTTTTCCTTGAACCTGTTCATCACAGCTGCAGGGGGTCTTCATTAGGGTCAAGGTGGGGAAGCCCTTAAGCAGTGGCTACCTGCTTTCCACTACTTAAAGGAATTCCAAGGTCATGTTCTGTAGCAACTATAGTTAGGGTTGGCTCTATGTATAGGGATAAACACCATGCTCTTACACTTGTGCTATATTTTTCCTAGAACATAGTAGAGAGGACACTGGAATAGCAGGTAGGAAACCTGAATTCTGATCTGGTTTTGCCTCTGGCTACCAGAACCACCTTGAAATAATCATTCTTGGGCCCAACTCCCTCTAACTGTAATATGAGAGAATTGGAATTGCAAATTTATGTTTGTTTAGGTGCATCTTTGGTGAATGATATTCCTATTTAGACTGACAGCACCATGAAGCCAGGAGATATATTCCAACTACCTATAACAGTGTTTGACACACCATACAAACTCAACAAACGCAATAATTGAATGAAAGCATAGGGAATGTGACTTCTATGGATGATGGCAAGTCTACAATCTGTACTGGAATCTTCTCAGATGCAGCTCTTTACAACTATATCTCTGAGGCAAGAGGAGGTGGCCAAGGACTAGATGAAACCTTCAGCTCCTTGCCTCAGAAGAGGAATGTGTCTGCACCATGGGAAATAGGAACAGCCTGCACTGGGGAGGGGCAGATCTGAGTCCAAAGGCAGCAAGCAAGAGCTTCCATGAGGCATAGGAGGTTTGTGAGATGCTACCAGTAGATTATGGGGTGGGAGTTGGCCTGGCAAGGGCTGGCTATAGAAGGCAGGGTCAGTAAGAAGGAGGAGACAGGGGAATAACATCTACAGAGATTTTTTTTTAATTTTTATATATTTATTTGAGAGAGAGAGAGAGAGAGAGAGATAGTGTGGGGTGTGTGTGTGGCCAGCTCAGCCCACCAGGGGGCGGGGCTGGCTGGCATGTGGTGCTGGGGGATTGAACCGCGGTCCCTGATGCTTTGCTAAGCTTGTTCTAAGTAGGTGCTTTAGACCACTGAGCCATCTCTCCAGCCCCATACAGAGTTTTCTATAAAATGAGAAGCTGAGATAACAGAGACCTGATGAGTGCCTGGGCTGAGATAGGAAAGGTGCCGATTTGCATGGTAACTCAAGGTCAGCAGCTGGAATGGGGCCCAGAACTCTCAAGCCTCTGTTCATCCCCCTGGGACTAGCCTCTGGCTCTGGGCCAGCTCCCTAAATAGCGCACCATCCTCCTCCACAATTCCAGCTTCTTAGGCCAACCTGCTTCCTTCTCCAGCCACACTGCAGCTGGTCTCCCCCCTCCCCAAAGGCTACATGCAGGTCCTCCCTCAACCTCCCTGCAAAGACTCAGCTGGTGCATTCATCCATTAGAAGGTGGGTGCATTCACCACTGGAAGATTTGCCTCCTTCCTGGAGTTGCCTGCATTCACACTGACATAATTCCTCCCCTCTTTAAGTAAAAATATAAGAGACAAGACTGTCACAGCTGTATTCCTCCCTCTGACCTACTCATTGCCAGGCTTTCACCTAAGATTACTCCCAAACAGGACTCTGAGGTGCAGAGAAGGTCTCCCTTGTCCTTCCTACTTTCTTTCAGTGGTACACATTCACATTCTTTTTTTTTTTTTTTTTTTTTTTTTTTTTTTTTTTGCAACTGGGGATTGAACTCAGGCCCTTGTGCTTGCCAGGGAAGCGCTTATTCTACTGAGCTATCTCCCCGGCCACATTCACATTCTAACAGGAGTCACATTTTCAAAAAAAACCAAAATCTCTAAGAGTAAAATTTCAGGTATCAGCAAGCAAGGAGAGAGACTGATTTATGGGACAGGAGTCCTTTCTAACATTCTAGAAATTACACTGTAAAAAGAGTTATCTACTTTGAAAAGTGATTAGGGCAGTAAAGGCCAAAGTTCTGTTCCCACCTTGACCTTAACATAGTCTGTGTGACTTTGGGCAAGTTACTTAATCTCTCTGTGTCTCAGTTTCTTCATTTGTCAAATGGCAACAATTATCCCTGTCCTACCCACTTCAGAAGGGTATTAGAAAAATTAGAGACTCTGTGTGGGGGGTGGGGTGGGGAGAGAAAAAATTTTTTTCAAACAGAGTCTCAATATATTGCCTAGATTGTCCTGGAATGTGTAATCCTCCTGTCTCAATCTCCAAAATGCTGGTATTATAGGATGCACCAACATGCCTGGCAAAGAGATTTCTTAAATAGTAAGGCACTGAACAAGGGGAGATTATGTCTCCCCTTGCCCTGCTGTACTGGAATGATTCATTCAGGATCCATGGTCATGTTTTTATAAAACATGCTCATGTGCTCTAGGCCAGCCCCCGTTCTCCTCTTCTAACTTCTGTCTTTCCTCTGGGGCTTGGCTTTAATCCCATTTGGTCTCCTGTGCATCTCTACCCTACTTCAAGTAGATCTTCCCTATCTTCTTCCCCATCATTACCCATCCTGTCCATCTCAGACCTTGCCTCACCTTGCAAGGGCCTCTACTTCTTAGGCTTCTGTTCCCAGCCCTGACCTCAGGTTTTCTCCATCAAAGTATTAAAGAGGAAGGGGCTCTGGAGGATAGTGACTGGACATGACAATTGGCTACAGAAGCTAAGCACAATGCACAACATTCAGCACATACTATTGGGGAGAAACACACTATTGTTTTGTTACATGTACTGGGGGAGGTATTTGGTGTGGTCTGCTTAGGGGGCCCTGAAATCT